GATGTCTAATCTAAATCTACTCTCTAATAATTTGTGTCCATTGTTCCTTGTCATGCCAGGGGGCGCTAGGGGAAACAGTGTCTCCCCTAAACCCTTCTGGTCCCCCCTGGTCTCCCCTAAACCCTTCTGGTCCCCCCTCCTGCTGCTGTCCTGGTGACAGCCAGACCTAGCTGAGGAGAAAGGGAGGGGGGTGTCCCTCAACACCTCACCAAACCTCATAAAGTGGCCCTCCAGCCTAAATAATCACCCAGCCCTAGACTAGAGCATTCCAGAAAAACAGGAGACAAGGCCTGGTTCTTATTGACAACTTCGGTTCTTAATGAGAAATTAAATTCTTATGTTTATCCCAACCAAAAGCTGCACTTCTAAAACCAACTTTTTCCCAGGAACCCCTTTGAAGACCACAAAGGGAAGGAAAGAGACAACAACCCCCCCCCCCCCCCAAAAAAAAAAAAAAAAAAAACCAACCACAATCAAACCTAGTGGAAGATCTAAGTTTATACTACTGATATAGACCCAACTGTAGATGCCTTCATCACAAAAGAGAGAAAAATGGGTGAGAGCGCAGAAATACACAGTTCTCAGCAAGCCCACAAATGGACTTCACTGGTCTCTGACAACTGGGCAGGGAAGGGAAGGAGAGAAATGAAGAAGAAAGCCAGTTTTTGTATTGCACTGAGAGAAAAGTCAACAAAAACAAAGATCAACTTAACATGCTGGACAGTTTTGTAGCATAACTCACTTGGACTGTGTCTGCTTTGTGATATTTCTAATAGTTGCTCCTTCTTTCCCAATAATGGCTCCAACAAACTGTGTGGGAACCAGCATCCGCAGTGGAACATCTGACTGTGGTTTCTGCCTCGTAGTTGCACCAGGTGATCCCTGCCTTGGAGGACCCCTCTGTCCAAATCCACGCCTCCCCTGTGGATGCTGTTGTGGGGGTTGTTGTGCTGCCATTTCATCAGGGATATATGCAACTTTCAGGGAATAATTTTCAAGCTGAAACCCATTCAGTTTTTCTATTGCTCTGTGTATTTGCAAAAAGCAGAGGGTAGGGAGTGAGGGGAAGAGGAAAAGAAGAGAGACAGAATTATATATTAATGTATAATTAATGTTAACTCTTAACATTAATTAAAGTAATGGAGAATTATTCAGTTCTAGGCGTCTGTTTATCCTGAGTTGGATGAATGAAGCTTAAAACTGGCTGTTAATTTAAAAAAAAAAAAATACTCCTACACAATCAAGATCCATACCATACAACTACATGGAGAAAACATTATGCTCAAGGCTTACAAATCAGTTCTTATTTGCTCTAGGTTTGTCTACACTTATGAGATTTTTCTGGTGTACCTCGATCAACAAAGCCCCTAGTAGAGATGTGAATAATGCCCTGAAAATATTGCTGGAAAAATATATGTCCTCACTGTAATGTTTTGCCAGAAAAAGGATTTGGGGGGGGGGGAGGGGGGGGAAACAGATTTTCCAACACAGCAAACCCAGATAAAAGGCAGATTTTTTTCACACTCCTAACAGGTATGACAACAAGAATTAACTGTAAACCAAGAAAAAAAGGCCACTTCGCAAGTATCTTTTAAACACCTTTACAATCATGGCAATTGGTCATGTTGAAGAAATTAACTTGGGCAGGAATATAGATTAAATGATAACCAGCTGACTTGATGTACACATTCAAATGATTTATGTAGTGGATGTCAAACAACATGTGGCAGCAGCAACTCTGGCTCCAGCACGGGGCATGTGGTAGGGGGGTCTGGGGTCACCATGGCATGCTCTGCTGCTGCTGCTGCCACCACATGCTTTGGTGCTACCACATGGTTTTCCAGACATGAAGTAATCCCAACTCAAAGATGCCTTCAATCAACCAGCAATTTCCAGGGACAGCAGTGTGTTAGTCCTCCCCATACTCTCTCTCTTACACTGCTATACTCAAGGGTTGGAAAATCATGCCTGTTATTTTTCATAGCTGCAAATATAAGTACTCTGATGTATAAAATGCAGTGCAACCTACTTGCCCATGTCAGATGATGAAACAGGGAGTACCCACCATGGCTTTCAACACCACAGCAATTCATAACAGAAAAATTCAGGGAAATGGAAGGACTGGGAGGAAGACAGAACACCTAAGAAAAGCAGAGCACCTCACACACTCCAGACAGTACCCATATTAAATTAACTTGAAGTCTTCCTTGGGGAAACACAAGATTTAGTTATCAGTGGGAAGTATAAACTTATTCATTAATAAGTGGTGCTACCAGCCTTGTCTATAATTAAGGCTGCCCACCATTTCTTAATATAAATACCCAGTTTTCAGTGGCATATAATTTTGCCAAACATTAAGGGTCTGGGCTAAAGTTTTCCAATGCCAGGCATCTGGATCAACCTGAATTTTATTAACTCTGGACAAAATTTCCCTGCTTTTCCCAGAAAAAGGCTAAGGGAAATAATATATTCTGTACATGTTAGAATAAATACATTTTGAAGAAAATAAACTTGGTGAGCTTCTTCTTGGGGTTGGAGAGGGAGGGGGGCACTTTAGTACACACAGGCTTCGAACCAGGGCATAGTGTAAGAAAATTCTATTAGGTCTGTCTGTACAACCTTATTTGCATGCACATATTTAATCATATCATCATGTACTCATTTTTCCAGAGGATTTCAATATAATTTAGAGCATGGGACAGACTTGTTCTGGAGAGTAGTCAGGTTTATGTCATGAAGGGGAAACTATCTGCAGAACACTTGCTTTGTTTACTATAAGGCTGGAATGTGTGCATGAATGAGGCAGGGGATTTCTAGAAGAGAAGGAGTCATAGTCAAACTGTGTGTTTTCAAGTGAGTCTAATTTAAATGAGTGGTGATGTCCCACAGTTAAAAATAAATTTAAATCAGAGCTTGGAAAATTCAGTAGTTGTTTAAGAGTCTCATATCAAGTCCTAGCTGTATTGAACTGGGCACCAAAAGCTAACAAATACTTCTGATATTTTTCTCTGCATCCCAGTTCCCCATCTATAAAATAGAGATTATGAGAACATATTCTGTCATCTCTCACAGGATAAATTAGCATATCTAAAGATACTATATGCAATCACTCTAAAGAAAAGCCCATGAGAAAACTAATATTTCTTTTATTTGAAAAGCGTTCAGTAAATATGGCTGGAGGCAATATAAATCAAAGAATAAAATAACTGCTTAATTGAATTAATTTGTACAATGAATGAGGCAGGGGCTCTCTGGAAAAAGGACCAAAAGTAAAAAAATGAAATTCAGTGAAAGATCATCACAACACAGATACCCAAAAGGACCAAACTCCAGAATTGAAATATCCTGTTCATCTGTACCTTTTCTAGTCTTGACTTTGAAAGCTTAGAAAAAATTATTTTAACCTAATTTTTAATGTAATAAGAAAAAAGCAAAGGAGGAAAAAACAAGGCATTGGTAAGGTCCCACAGTTGATCTCCACCATACCAAATCACCTTCCCTGTAATATATTTGCCAAGTTCACATGTGTGGAACTTGGCCTCCTCAAGCTGCTTTTACATCAGGAGGTTCTCGGACAGGATCCCTGCATTGTGATGAGTTTCCTTACATCAAACCAGTATACCACTTCTTAGATGCTGCCCTGGGGAGGTTTTTGCTGCCTCATCTAAGCCACTTACACATTATATCTTTGCAATGTATATGACAAGCCAATGACTGTATAGCCCTGTGCTTCCAATTCAAAGGGAACAGGGATTTTTCTGTTTAATACATGGCTCACAATCTACCGGCATGACCTTAAACACGAAGGAAATGGTAAGAAAATGGTTGCAATTTGGAAAGTTAATTTTGTTGTAACAGTTCATCACTGGCCATAAAAAACATGATAGTAAATTAACCACAGCTTAAAAATAAAAAATGTGGGAAGAGTTCCTATTTTTTGTCTAATTCTTAAGAGGCATACTTGCATTATTTGTTTCTCAATTAGAGGCCATCAACCAAGTAGACTCTTGTTTAAAGTCCTCTACCCTAGATATTTATATGACTAGTTAATACAATTTATCCCTCACCATAAATGAGGCACAAGTTACATGACTTGCTGAAGGTGACAGAAGTTGTGGCAGAGCCAGGAAGTAAAATCTACTTTCTGGAGTTGCAGCCCCATTTCTTAAGCCAAAAATTGTGGTGCACATAAAATTGCCACTGACTTCAATACATTGATATGAAATGCAAACATCCGGTGCTTTTGGGGTTGCAAGGAGCAGGGAGGGTAAGCCCCAGGTTTTACAAATTTCAGTTAACGTTTACATCCTAATTTCTCACATGTTACTGTACTATGTTACAAACTCTTCTGGTCTCAGCCTGAGATCCATCCCCCACACCCTCATTTTATGCATTTCAGGGGCACAATCTAGTTTATGATTTCAGTCAAGTAAATCAGTCTAACAGAAATCTCCAGCATTTCAGAGTGAAAGCTGACAGTCTAAAAATATGTTGCTGGAGAGCAAGTAGCAATGCCCACAGATCTATGGAAACCTGAAAGCAAACTTAAACAAAACATGGGACTTATCAAATCAAACCCAAACTGTAGGAATGTAACATCATCCTTCCTATTGTTTTCTTGTCCTATTACCTAGAGAAGCAAGAACTGCCCAACAGGTCTAAGTCCTGGTAAACAGCAAGCAACCAGCACCAAGACCTCTAGTAGGCTCCACAGAAAGGATAAAAAGCAACTGCCCCATACTTAAACAACAAATCATTACAAGAATGGCAGTGATGACACATCCCTATGTTTCAGCCACCCCTTGCCCAAATGGTTCAAGAAAAAAAAAACAAGCTTGCAGTGAGACCAGAAGATTAACATAGCTAGGTTTCAGAGAAACAAGAGGAAGAGAAAATTCCACATTTGAACAACTCTCTGGGGGGAAAAGGAGAGGGTGGAAATGGGGTAAAGGGAAGGAGAAGTGTTATTAGCAGCAAGATCCAGTTCAACAGAAGGGTGCTCCAGTGCCTCTGTTGACCTCAAGCACATCACGAAGGGCATGGACATAATGGCTGTGCAAAGCTTCGGTAGCCAATTTGATTTGGAGGAGATTCGGCATGATTTGGGGACTGAATCTCCAAATCTGAATCGAATCAGGAGACCAATTAAAAACTCCAAATCAATTCAAAGCATCCAAATTGATTTGGAAAAAGATTTGGTGATTCGGCCATAGACTGAACAGGCAGCTGACACAGCTGCCTCCAGCTGGTACGTCTGTTGGGGCTGGGGGGGGAAGGGACATGGGGGAAGGAGGAATTGCAGCTGGGGCTGGAACAAGCTGCCCAGCTGGGGCAGGGGGCAAGTTACTCAGGTCAGGGGAAGGGGCTCTGCCCTGCTGCTACTTGCCTAGCCCGGGGAGGGGGCAGGATGTGGGCAGGGCTCACTCCAGGCAGAAGGTGGCAACAGGGCATAGCCCCCGCTCCCAGTGCTGCTGCACCCACATCCCATGCCCCCCCACACTAGCTGGGCAAGCAGTGGCAGCACCCAGCCTCCATGCCGGCTGGGCAAGCAGCAGCAGCACAGAATCCCCACTCCCAGCACTGATGCAGGCACAGTGGAAGGTGCTGGGAGCAGGGGCTATGCCCTGCTGCCACTTGCCCAGCCAATGTGGGGTGGGGGTGGGGGTGTAAGGCAGGCACAGCTTGCTCTGGGCAGAAGGGGGCAAGTGGCAGCAGGGCATAGCCCATGCTCCCAGTGCCTTCCACAGTGACCACATCAGCACTGGGAGGGGAGAAAACCCTATCCCCCCCGCCCCAGCTGGGCAAGTGGCAGCAAGGCAGAGTCCCCATTCCCAGCGCTGTTGTGCCTGCATCCCACACCTCCCCGCACCTCTCCCCTCCGCCCACTACAACACACTTACCAGCTGAACGCAGCTGTGTCCAGCATTGTCGAGGACTGCTGCATGTTTAGTCTATGGCTGAATCTCTGAGTTGGTGCTGAATCTCTCCAAACCGATTTGGAGGCTTCTGAATCAATTTGGACCTTGT